AGTCGTGAACTTTGGGATAGATCTACACCGATAGGGTGATTTTCTTGAGATTTGGGGCTTGGATTCGATGTCGGATTTAAGAGAGGAGAGTTTTAGAATAGTTTTTAGGATGTCTCTTTTATAATAAATATTTACAAAATCTAATCTAAATTAATTGATCAATAAATTAGATATAATGATTAATTTTTTTAAAAAATCATATACAAATCATAATTAAATTTAAATAAACATATATAATTATAAACTTCAAAGAATATTCCTGTCTACAAATCTAAATCAACGTAATCAATCAAATTTGTACTTTTTCAATACTCAAATTCACCCTTGATTAATTTTTATCATCAATGGTTAAAATGAAATTATTCGGAGCATCTATACTTTTTTTAATTTCAAAACAATTGTAAGAATATAAAATTATTGATACTATTTTATTTTATTATTCTTATAAATAGCTCAAAAAAATTATAAAGTCGATAAAAACTCTATATTAAACCAAATATTTTTCAATTTAAATTAAAATCTAATTGTTGAACAAATATATACACACCTCGGTGGTAGATCGGTCCCCCTATGTCCTAACATTCGGCTGGATTCCGTGAGGAACCGCAGGGTATACTAGATTATTTTATTTAGATCACATCGTTAAATAAGGGTAAATTATATGTTTAATATTTAAATTATTATTTTTATTTTGGTATGGTATCTAAATTTTATATTTTTAAAATTATAAATAACGTTTAGTTTAAATTTTAGTTTGTTACTTTTTTATTAAAAACTTAACGATGATGTTTACGTATCATCACAAAGTAATATCACGTTATCGTTGAAAAAATAAAAAATATTAAGTCAACAATTATGTTAATTTTTTAATAACATGATAACAAATTGAAACATAAACTAAATGTTTGATATGACTTAAAAAAATAAAATTCAAGTACTACAATGAAACAAAATAATAATTTAGATATTAAACATATCATTTATCCTTAAATAAATAAAATACGACAGTTTAAATTATGAGTCGCACGTATGGAGCCAGCCGGTGGCCCCACACAGAAAGAGGGAGTGTCCGTGGCGGGGTCACATTTGTCTAAGATTCGTGTTTGTAGACATCTGCAAGACTGCACCGTTCAAACAGATTATCACCACACTAGTTACACTGAACCACCTCAATCACCGGAAGGATATTTTCTACATTGCTAGTTTTTGTCAAATTCAGTCATTAGTGATTATACAATGAAAAAGTTGTGAGTTTAATTAATTTTTAACGTTAATTAAATAATGAAGAGATAATATGATTAAATTATAAAAATTTAAAATAATTAAAAAAATAAAATATATAAGACTCTGCATATATATATATATTATAGAGTGATTATAAGGAATTATTTGTTCGAATTTTTTCTTAATAAATTAATAACGCATACACACTTTATAAACATAATTGTTCTAACTCAAAATTTTAAAAAGAACAATATTTTTTATCATTAAGACCATTTGATGAGTTTACTATAACTTACATATTAATTAATAAGAGAATTTTTCATTTTTATAAAATTTTAAAAATACCGTTTATTAAAGTTATGAGATTAAATAATATTTAGTTATTTTTTTGAATAAAAAGAAGAAGAAGGAAATGCGGAAGGTAGATTTTATGGTCTACTTTTAGTTAATATTAAACCGATGCTTGGTTGATACATCACTAACTTAATCTATAAATAAAACTATGCTTTAAACAGATACATAATAGATTTTTTTTTCATTTGTGTGGAGATATTATAAGGTAATATTTGCTTATAATTTTTTTTAATTATTAATAATGTAAATACATCTTATGAACGTAATTATTTAAATGTAGAACCTTAAAAGAGAATAACATTCCTTTAATCCCTAAAATCATTCAATGAGTAATGAAATTTTTAATAATATTTCACTTAATTTTAATGTATATTTTAGAAAAACAATAGTTGCTAAGGTTATAAATGAGATGAGATAGATCATGAGTTACTCGAGATTAATTCGATCAAAACTCGATAAATATTTAACTCGGGTTCGATTTCGACTCAATTCTTAATGAGCCGAAACGAGTTACTTGATACTCGACTCAAAATACTCGTGAGCAATTCAAAAAAATAATATATTAAAATTTTAATTTTAAAAAATGAAATTATCAATAATATTAACATTTACGTGATGATTTTTTTAAATGCAATATAATATTTTCATGTATTTAATATTTAGGTTTGAGTTTAAGTTTCAACCAAATTTTTACGAGCTTTAATTCATGATTTTAATTTCGAGTCGAGTTTGAAATTTTAGGTTAATGAGTTTTCGAACATAGTCGAATTCTATTTTAGAATTTTTTAGTTAAATTAAATTTAACAATACTCGAACTCATCTCATTTACGATCCTTCTAATTTTTTTATGTTTAATACTAGTTGTTTTAAAGAATAAATAATGAAAACATAGTTAGTCACACGTACGATAGTGATAGACGTCAATTTGGATGAATAAAACAATTAAAAAGAAAATTGAATAGAAAATGCAATTGGTGCATGATTGCAAGAAACCATTATCCTAGTCAATAATGGAGGCTACCCATTTCTTCTCCTCGGTCCCATTATATAAAAAAAAAAATGGCTATTAAAAGTCTGATACAACCAAATTCATTCATGGAATCAATGCTTTGACCGATCAGTTTTATCCTTTGTAGTTTGTGATTATTTTGACCAAATTCATTTTACTTTTTTCCCCTTAGATTATTAGTAAAAGTTGAAAATAATTTGTAAATATTAAAGATATTATTTTGGCATACAAAAATAAAGGGTAAAGTATACAATGGTCCTCTGACTTTAGGGTATCGATTTATTTAATCTTATAACTATTAAAAATTACAAAATAATCACCCAAATATTCATATGTTTCAAACTCGTCATTCTTCGTTAAAGAATTGACGGTAGTCTGAGTTTAACTTTAACCTATTGACTAATATATGATAAAATATGATCTCATAATCTCAAACAACAATCATATCTCAATTAACATATTAATGTCCAACTAAGACGACCATTAATTTTTTAACAAAAAAGAAAGTGTTATGAATATAATGGATAGTTGGATGATCATTTTGTAACTTTTAATAATAAAATAACTCAACAATAAATATCATATAATCGGTGATCATATTGTACTTTACCCAAAAAAAAATATACTTGTATATTCTTCCTAATTCTTTTGATAAATAAATATAATTGATCATTATAAATCTCACTATTTACATACAAAAAATAACTAACACATATCCTTAGGCAAAACTCACGAGATAACGTGCTGGGAAATTTTATTTTACGAAATAATGCTTTCGTCAGATTAATTGCTTAGATAAGACGAATGCTACATTCCCCATGTAGGTCGCCAAGTGCTTCGGGCGACGTAGGTGAGATGGTGTAGGTCGCCATGCCGTCCACGAGTTGTGTTGAGTTCAAGGTCGCCATGCACGCCCAGCATGTCCATATGTCACCATGTGAGCCAAAGTTGGTCGCCTTGCAATTCCAAGTCGCATGGGTTTCCCAAAAGGAGTTGCATACGTGTTCTTCTCCATGCTTTGACCATTGTGGATTATCTGCTAATCGATTCTTAATTAATGTTAATTTAGTGCTTTTGTCGTGTGAGCTGTTCATTTGCTTCAAAATTACTATTAATTTTAGAGACGTGATCCAATGCAATTGCAGTATTTGCATTTGTTGATATTATATATGTGTGCATGTACCATGCATGCAATTTTAATGGCTATTATTTATAATAATTATTAGAGCTAGCGCGGGCGTGCATGGTGACATGGAATTGCAAGGTTACCTACTTCGGCTCACGTGGCGACCTATGGTCATGCTAGGCGTGCATGGCGAACTTGACCTCAATACAGCTCGTGGACGGTATGGCGACCTACACCATCTCACCTACGTCGTCCGAAGCACTTGGCGACCTACATGGAGACTGTAACATTCGTCTTATCTGAGCAATTAATCTGACAAAAACATTATTTCGTAAAATAAAATTTCTCAATATATTATCTCGTGAGTTTTGCCCATATCCTTACATAGAATTAGTCAGAAATTCTATAGCTTTTTTGTGTGCGTGAAAATATAGTGATAGTGATAGTAGAAAAAAGAATTCAAAGACCTTTTAATATAAACCTACGTCAAGACCTTTTAATTTATTTTAAATATATTAACTTATTTAATGTTTATTTATAATTTTTAAAACTATTTAATGATCAATTACATTTCTCTATCACATTAATAGGTATTTGCATATAAATGTCAGTTACATAATTTATGACCGTATGATATAGTAATGATGAAAGACTATTTTTACTAATCAAAAGAATTATTTAATTGAAATTTTAAATTTGAAGATTCTATTTAATACATTTTTAGCATAAATATTTTTATAAAATTCAAAATTTTATATAACCTTAATTATTTTGGGCAGCAACCTTACGCCTTTATTTATGATTAATATTTAGCATGTAAATGGCCAGTCATTTTTTTTTCTTCAGGAATGACTGACAATTGACAAATGATAATAATTGAACCACACAACGCAACACAGCACAGCAGAGGTGAGGTTCACCAAACTCTGTCACTTTCCCCTTTTACACGAACCAAAACATTACAAAGAAACAAGCAAATCTTTATACGGTGATACTTAAATGAAAATATTTTATGATACAATTAGATAATATTTTAAGTAGTTGATATTTTTTGAATGACAGTAATAAAATTGATTTTAAAATAATAATTAATCATTTACGAATATTGAATATCTTGTTTAATTATGCGAGAGAAATATTAATAAAGGACAGGAGTGGCGACATTGGGTTAAGCGAGCCTTAATTGTGTTATCAGTTTCCAAGTAAATCAGTACTTTATTCATGAAAGTGTGAAAACGAAAGGGAAAAAGAAGGCGCGAGCTTTAGTGATTGAGAAGGGAAGATTGAAGAATCTAATCTATAAGGAAGCGTCAAACACTGGGAAAAAAAGGCGTTTAATCTCCCCCTCTATAACTATTAAAAAAGCTTCCAAGTTTCAACGATAAACAACAGCAGTATCCTCGTGAAAGATAGAGACTTGTCTCCTGCGTCTTCTCTTTGGAACTTTGCTCATATCTCTCTGTTTCTCCCTTTAATGCAAAGCTTCTCTTCTTCTTCTTCATAAACAACAGCAAAGGTGTTTTAAAGAGAAAGATGACGGGGGCATCTGGGAGATTACCGACATGGAAAGAGAGGGAAAACAACAAGAGGAGGGAACGGAGGAGAAGAGCCATAGCTGCAAAGATATTCACTGGTCTTCGATCTCAAGGCAATTATAAACTTCCTAAACATTGTGACAACAACGAGGTCTTGAAAGCTCTTTGTGCTGAGGCTGGTTGGATTGTTGAGGAAGATGGTACCACTTATTGCAAGGTTCCCTTTCTTTTTCCTTGTAAAAGTTTCTGGGTTTTCTTCGTTTTACAATACTAGATCTATACATGCATGTGTTGTTTCGGTCTGAATTGGGTTTTGATTGGTCTTTTATGTTCTGAAATCTGGGTCTTTTACTTTGTGTTGATCTGGATTGAACAAGGGAAGAATTAATCGGAAAGGTTTTATATGTTTTTTTTATTTTTTATTTCCTTTCTTAAATCAAATTACATTAAGTTCCATCTTTTTACTAATCTGTGTGAATAGTAGTCTTTGATAGTCACAGATCTTGATTGTTCAAGAGAATATAACAAAAAAAAGAAGGTTCGAATTCGATCCTTTTTGTGTTCTTCTGATTCCTTTGTAATGGCTTTGGTACAGGGATGCAAGCCACCTCCATCTGAGCTTGCAGGGACCTCGACAAATATCAGTGCTTGTTCATCTCTTCAACCAAGTCCGCAGTCCTCGTCCTTCCCAAGTCCCGTTCCTTCATACCATGCTAGCCCATCCTCCTCCTTGTGCCCGAGCCCTACTCGATTCGATTCAAATCCATCAAACTACCTTCTTCCATTCCTCCACAACATTGCTGCCATCCCTAATAATCTCCCTCCTCTTAGGATATCCAATAGTGCTCCCGTAACCCCACCTCTTTCATCCCCTACATCAAGAGGATCTAAGCCCAAAGCTGACTGGGAGCACCTTTCAAATGGCTCTCTGAACTCGATTCGTCATCCTCTTTTCGCCACATCAGCCCCATCGAGCCCCCCAAGGCGGCACCACCATGCGCCAGCCACCATACCTGAATGCGATGAATCTGATGCCTCGACCGTGGGCTGCGGTCGCTGGATGAGTTTTCAGACAATGGCACCGTCCAATGCAGCCCCTCCTTCACCTACCTTCAACCTTGTGAAGAGGGTTGTTCTACAGAATCCTCTCCAAGATGGTGTCACTAGACATGGAGGGGTCACATGGGGGACAGTTACAGAGATGGGAAGAGGCTCGGACTTGGAGTTTGAGAACGGTAGAGTAAAAGCCTGGGAAGGTGAAAGAATACACGAAGTTGGCGTCGATGATCTGGAACTTACACTTGGAAGTCGGAACTAGCAAGACTTGTGCATAATGACGTCTCTGCATTGCAATAAGAAATTAATCATTCCTCAGCATTGCTGCATTATCGACCGCCATATTCAATGCGAGTTCTTGCATTGCTCAGATACCATCCTTCCATCATATTTTTACAACTTTGTGCTAAAGGAACTCAAGCCTACTATCACAATTCAATTGCCGTTGACCACACTTACAGAGGGCTCGAATGAGAGACACTACGAGCTCAATCTTCAAGTGGCATGAAGGAAAAAGGAAGTGATTATATAAAAAATGTTGATGTTTATGTGTACAGTTTTCTTATAATTTATTCTAGAGTTCAATCTATCTATCATTTGAAGGAGCACAAAACTCAGAATTTTGAAGGCACTAATTACTATACATGATCATTTATCACAAGGGAAAATGAGAAAATCTGAAAATATATAGGTGTGATAATATCAAGGGTAGATAATTTGTGTTCATTTTATGACATGTTATCATATCAGTTCATAATTGAAAATATTTGAAATAGTTTTTGTTTTCTTTTTTTTTTGGTGTGATATGATGCTCAAAATGGTACTTGCACCAGAGGGTTGAGGGGCCCTTGGCCTTGGACCACGTCATGTGTTAATTTTTTTCTAAATGTAAAAATAAATGTTCAAATAGTACTCTAAATTAATTTTAGGCATTAAAAGAATTTTTTATTAAAATTATATGTCTAATATTTTTTAATTATATTTTTAAGTGTATAAGGTTTTTTTGTTACATTTTTTTATTGTACTTTTAGGTGCTTATATAGTAACGGTCGTTAAAAAGTCATTAAGAGATATGTGTCATGTTTATATTTTGGTTTAATGCAAAAATAAATGTTCAAAATATACCTTAACTTTATATGTCTAAATAATTTTTTGTAAGAATAGGTGTCTAATATTTTCGACGTTACATTTTTAAGTGCTTAGGTTGTAAATATCGTTAAATTACGACCGTTATTTGATATGTGTCCTGTTTATATATTTTTAAAATTAGAATATTATTTAAAAAATATTTTTTGAGAAAATTTTCTCCTCCAATTGCATTTAAAACCCTCCTCTATCGTCTCGATAAATCCCTAAAGTAAACTTAAAGTGTGATAAATTTGATACCATAGTTAGAGATTTGGGTATTAGGCTTAGGAATAAGTTTGAATTTATGAATTTACGGGAGAATTGAGAAGACAACAAAAGGGATGATCGACAATAGAGATCCGACGATAATTGAGTGATCGTTCGATGATGACGAAAGCTGTCGATAATGACCGACAACAACTGATAATGGTGTTGAAATTAGAGATTTTATGATTGCAATTTTTTTTGTAATTTTAAAAAAATAGTTCTTTTTAATTAATAATCTTATTAGGTTTTAAAAAAAATCAAAAAATATAAACATGACACGAAACACTTAATGATTTTTGACGATCATTACTGCATATGCACCTAAAAGTGTAACGTTATAAACATTATGCATTTATTTTTAACAAAAAGTTCTTAAGTCACATAAAGTTAACTTTGAGTATAATTTGAGTACTTATTTTTGTATTACGCCAAAATATAAACATGATACATGTTACATAAAGATTTTTTAACGGCAACTATTGCATAGACACTTAAAAGTGTAACAACAAAAACGTTAGACACCTATTTTTAACAAAATATTCTTTAGATATCTAAAATTAACTTAAGCTATAATTTAAATATTTATTTTTATATTAAACTATTTTTCTTTTTAGGCATGCGATCTTATCTCTGTCACGTTTGATGTAGTAAATGTACCATCCAATAATGCAATAACTGACTTGGACCACTTGGTTTATCAATTATTGGATAAATTATATATCTGAATTTCATCTTTTTTTGCATTTATTTACCAACCAATTATTGTTTTTTAAATCGAATTTAATGATATATTCTTTTATTTTTATTTGGTTTTTATTATTCAATATATTTTTAATGAAAGTTTTATATTCTATAAATGGGATTAAAAGACTGTCAAAAGACTTTTATTTCTTTATTTTTATATAAATTTAGGATGAATACAAGGTGATATATCTTTAAAGACTTATAATCCTTTAACAATTAATACTCATAAATGTATATATAGTGTTTGAATTCGAAATCTCAAATAATAACAACAAATCTCTTAATTTTGAGGTCGTTTAATTAGTATTTTATTTATAAATATAGTTTAAAGGCCATTCCCGTTGTTTAAACTCAATCATTATTTATAAATTTCATTGTCAATATAGCATATAATTATTCTTAAAATGTATTCCATTTTAAGATAATATTATATAAAAGTTGATTTTATATAGCAAATTTGGATTCCTTTTGGGTCAAATAAAACCTTTCCATCGTGATAGAGTCTTCGAGCTCTAGTCCAAGCCTGTCTCGGTTTTCTTCCTTCCTACAATCCAATCCCCATTTCTTTCCAACTGCGATAAGAGAATGAATAGAGAACGAATATAATTGTAATTGTATTTGATTCTTTATTTTTGCAACTGTAATTATTTAGTTTGTGTTTATTTAAATTTTTAATATTATTTTTATGTTCGCTAATTTTCTTTAGAATTTTCACGTTCGTTTATTTTTTTTAAAGTGTTTGCTTTCGTCTATTTAAATTTTTAAGATATCATTGTTTATTTATTGTTTACGAATGTAATAATTTATATGTTCACGAATATGTTCATTTTTTATATTCAGGAATGTTGAAACTACATCATATGTTCAATTTAGTGCATGTCTTCACCAATATTTAAAATGCCAAAAGGTAAAAAAAAGATAATCGGATAAACGAATTTATAGGTGAACTTGTTTGTGAACATAAATAAATCAAATAGACATTTTTTTGTGTTCGTTTGTTTATTGAATGAACATAAAAAAATTATGCATACTTGTTTATTTAATTTAATAAACGAACATAAACAAATATTATAGGAATGATTCACGAGTTCGTTCGATTAATTTGATTTACGTTCGATTAATGTGATTTATGTTCCTAGTTAGGCATCGGTATTTGCAAGCATAGTAACAAATCAGTGCAACCAAATTTTCATATTCACCGATTGAACTTTGTTAGCAATTAAGGTCAGACTGTTTAGATAACTAACACACAGTTAAGCTGTCATGATTAGTTAGGCAGCTATATGAGTTACTTGGTTAGTTGAGTTGATATACAATTATTTTTATAATTGAAAAAACATGACATGTATTTGTGTAATTGGGTAAACGACAAGGATGATCACATAGCGTTTGTATTTGTAAAACTTTTGCTCATCAAATTCAAAAAACATAAATTTTGGTCACTGAAACATTGAATGTCGTTAGTGTGATTAAATTTTGGTCACTGAAATGTTGAATGTCGTTAGTGTGATAACGTGACACGTTAGTAAAAATATTTAATTTTTATTTTAATCCCTACACTTTTGACAAATACTAATTATGAGGCCTTTTATAAAATCTAAAATAGTTTAGGGACAAAATTTTAATTTATTCCTTTAATATGCTTTTCCTTTGACCCCACTTGCGCCGTATGCTGTTCATCTTCTTCATGTGCCTTCATCAACGTTTCCTCTTCTTGTTCTTGCGGAGCTTGCCTGGTTCCTTTCTTTTTTTTTCTTTTCACGTTCTCTGCTCTTCTTCTTATTCTAATGGAACTGTTTAGCGATTTTACAGATTTACGATTTATGTACGAAGGCTACAGATTGTGGTCCAGATCTTTATTGTGAGAACTGTCATGTTTTTGGCTAACATGGTGCAGGTTTGTTTCCTTGTTGGTAAGGGAACTATTTTCTTCCATTTGTGTGTGTTATTTGGTGATTGATTTTAGAAATTCTCTGCGTGTATGTGTTTTCATTTGGCTCTGCCTTTCATCCAGAGGGCAATGTTTCACACACACCACCTTTGTAATATAACTTATGTTCCAGTGGAAGATAAGAATCTACAACACCCATGCACTCACCGCTAGATGAAAGGAAAGTAGCAACCGAAATAATCCAGTGCATTCAATCGGCAACGGAGAAGATGAACAGTGCAGCGCAAGTCAAATTGAAAGAAAAGTACATTAAAAAAGGGATAAATTGAAATATTATCCCTAAACTATTTTAGATTTTACAAAAGGACCCATAATTAGTATTTGTCTTAAGTGTAGGGGTTAAAATAAAAACTAATATCTTTTACTAATGTGTAACGACAGCAAAATAACGTCATTAAACGTCTCAATGATCAAAATTTAATAAAACGATAACGTAAGTGACCAAAACTTATGTTTTTTGAATTTGGTGAGCAAAAATTTACAAATATAAAAGGTAAATGATCATTCTTGTAGTTTACCCTATATATTTTTTACATGTATACCAATTATACATATTTTAATTTTAAAAAGTTAGATAAATTATATATAATTTAAAATTATGAAGATTATATACACTAACAAGTAATAAGTTATTTATGATGTATTGTAAAAAGTATACAACTTAATTTCTTTTTAATTAATTTTAGTTTTTAAATTACGAGTTTGAGGTCTTGTGTATATATAAAAAAATTATTAGAGACTCAACCATCAAAATCAAGTGTGCGATATGGGTCGGTTCAAATTAGTTAAAACAAAATTTCGAGAAACCAAGAAAATAACAAAAAAACCATAAGTTTTATTCAAATAAAATAAATGTACTACTATTACTTTTTAACATAAATTAATGAATGAAATGTGAATAAAGATTATGGATAAAAATACAACACTTAAAAAAGATAATTGACGAGAATGAATTAGATGACCCTTATTCTCATATGTAATGGGATAAGGAGAGGTAAGATGGTAGGCTGCCCCAACATCAGGTTGAGAACAAGTTCCGTAGGAGACCTCCGAATTATGAAATGTCTTCCGTGGGACTCGATCCCACGACCCCAAGCACCCCAAGATTAAGAGACTTGTGCTATTTCAACTGAGCTAGATGGTCATATCAATGAATTATTAGTAAATGCCATGGATAATTATCTCATATGATAGTGATTTGTTATTTTATAACGACCTTTAACTAATGGAACTGTATTTTTCTTTAAAAACAAGAACAAATAACAGCCAAGCGTACTGGACTCCACCGCTGGTAGATCCATCAGAAAACTGGACTTGTCAGAAAGTTAAAACCAATCTTGTACCGAATCTACCGACATTAATTTAGTACCATAAAAACCACCGATAATTTTCTTTGTTACTCTTGCTAAGTTTCAGAGATTGAAGA